TGCACCTTTTGGCTGACCCCACCTCATCACATACCTTTCTCAACTGCTGAGATGAAGCACTGTCCACCGACCCTTGAGATGGCAGATAACTATTCCAGCATGAAATGTGTGGTATCCATTGCTGTTGTTGTCTATCCTGACTATATTTCCTCTGGTTCAAGACACTGCTGTCATCTGACTTCCACTGAAGGTATTGGGTGATGAAGCATAACAGATTTTATATAGCTTGAGGCTCCTTTTGAATGGTGTTGGAATAAGAGGGTAATTCTATTTAAAGACAGGTCCAACTAAGGATGACTTAAGACTTTCTCACTCATAAGCTAGGGATGAGATGAAGGCAACATCATGAAGACACAGCAAAAAGAAGATGCTGCCAGAGTATATTTGTGCCGTGGTTATGTAGAAGTGAAGAAAAACTCTAAGATCAGTCCCATAATATTATGTAAAACTTTAATGTATTTGGGTTTGGCTTGGTGCAACATATGTGCTATAAATGTGAACAAGGGCCACTATGACTTGTACATGGTTAAAACAAGCCAGGACTTTAGCATAATATCTGAGTTCAGGGGAAGTCAAATGATTTTAGTTTCCATTGAAATTCCATTGAGCTAAGGTGATGGTTGTGTTTTTATACCTGGAACCCATACATAGTTGTATTATTCTGAATTCATCCCAGTATAAGTGGCAAATGTAGATTAATTGGTGAGGAACGAAGGATACCATAAATATACTCCAGATTCAAACGGTACAATGGTTACTCCTTTGGCATGAAAAAAAAAAAACTTGGGAAACATTTAACTTAAAATACTTTAATAAGATTGGATTCTGGAGATAAGTATACCATTGCTGTTTTCAAAATGCCTGTGATTCCCAGATATCAGAGACAGAGATCCACTTGGGTAATGATGTGCTTGATGTAAATGGATAAGTGTTTGGTTTATGCAAACTTTCTCTTCCATTTTTGAGGGAGAAGGGAAAATACAAATTACATACTTTTATTCTGATTATTGACATGCTTATATGTCTATTAGTATTTTTTTTTTAAAAAAAATCATAAGCCAACATACTGTACATGGCAATGTAATATGGGTATGGAGGATAAAACAACTTAATTGAGCAAAGGCTTGTGTTACAGTTCCATTCCAAGTCATAAAAAATCTCCACAAACCTATTATTTTAAAAGATTGGAGCCCACCTTGGGGGTCATTATCTTCAGGCCTAAGAGAGGGATTTTGCACCCTGGTGGTAAGTGAAAGCATGTAACAGTGCAAGAGATATGACAGAAGAACAAGAAAGAGGAGACCCTGCAAACAAAGGAATTGCTCTAGCAGCGTGCTTGTGTTCCTGTTTAACAGGAATTAACCAGACTACCAGATCTGGACTGCAAAACTCCAGATAAACTCCCAGCTGGAAGCAAACAAGCATCAACCTCTAATGCTTTGCTACTGTCTCACGGTCAATAATACATACAAAGAGGAAATGGCAGGTAGTTCAATCAATCAAAAATCACCTTTGCAGTTGCCCAACCAATGAAAATAACAGGGGGGCAGAAATATTACTTCACTGACTAAGGTCACTGTCACTCTTACGATGGAGAAAAGTATGAAATTCAATGGTGCACGCCCACTGTCTTCACTGATGACCCATTGCTTAACTTCACAAGACATGCCTAGAAAAGATAAAAGGGGAAAAGTGGTACCATGCAAGGAAACAATGTGAAGGAAAACCTCACTGATCATCAAAAGTTTAAAAATAAATAGGTCAGCCACTATGGGGCATGGACGATGCTTAACTGCCTGGCCCAGAAGGCATCTTTTCTTGGTCCCCTCAATCTTGCCTTTGCACTCTTAAACACCACAGGAAAGAAGAGTGGGTTTGCCGTGACTTGTGAACAATCTAGAATAAAGGGTTAACCAGCAATGCATTTCTTGGTCTAATTATTTATCTTGGTTTGTTTATTTACTTAATGGTATTGATACAGCCATCCAACTTGTACATTGTGACTCTGGGCAGCTAATTTAGGACTTAAATAAAGTTGCAAGCCTGGAGAATGAAATCCTCTTCTTCTGTGATTTATTGATGTGTCTATGGTCTTCATCATGTTGCTCAGCCCTTCCCCTGCATATCACTTGAATCAAGCTTCTTCTTTTTTTCTGGACCATTAGGGCTAATCACAAATCAGGCTCTGTTCTTTTCCTGCTAATTTAAAAACCAAACCAAACAAAATACTCAACAGAAGGAAGAGGTTGGAAGGAACACAAGTTTCGCTCAGAAGGTTCTTCTAACTGATGCTACTGCTGAGTTCCCCTTGTAATTTCTCTCCCACAGCACTCACCTGTATGGAATATAGCCAGCTGCCTTAATACTTAAGCCCAACTCCACAGGAGGAAGCGGGAGCTTGTTCAAGCTTTGCATCAGTGACCTAATAACTGGTCCACATTTGTACTGCAGTTGGGAGGTGAAATATTTCCCCACACTCCTTCAGAGAAGTGCCAGGAAACTGAATGCCAACATTTTTGTCTGCTTACCATTAGACAAGAGCTTGGAATTTAGGACAAGCCCACAAGCAGGACACAGACTGGCTGAATCACACGGTGACAAACGCAGCATCCAAAGAGTGGGCAGACAGGGAAAGCGGAAGAAGATGCAAGCACAGTTGGACAAAGGGAATGGCCGAGACAGATGCATTGGCTCATAGGAGATGGGCTATTGGGATCTCTCCAATTTATTAGCATTATATAATCTGATTTATCGACTGGGTGTGTGCAAAATACTTTCATATCCTTGGAACAAACATTAATGCTGAAATGAGTGCAGCCTGCATTCTTTTTCACCCCTGCCTTTCCGACACAGCAGAGAGTGTAAGCAAGTGTTGAGTATTATCATGTAAGTACCTAGAAAGTTAGGGTACTTTGTGGGAAGTTTGAGTACTTCCACAACTGCAGAACCACATGGCTGGCCCTACCAAAAGCTGTTGGATGCTTCCAGAGAGAGGACTGCTAGCATTATCAGTCAAAAGGTATTGTGTGGCTATTTTGTCTTTCTCAGTGGCAGGGGGAAAAAAGATGGAAGAAGCAGTGGGAAAAAAACTGGATAGTTATAAATGATTGATGACATTTTCTGTAGATTTCTCCAAAAAATTCCATAAATGAGGCAAGACAATTGCACAATAACAGCCTCACCCAGAAGCCTTTCAGAATTTAACATACCCAAGCCGAAATCCAAGAGCCTTTCCCAAGTAAGGTTAAGAAGCTTGTAAGAGGCCAGAGAGATTAACAATGGACCAAGAAGCTCGTAACAGGATATTTGACCAGCAAAATGCCAGACTGAACAGAAGCTACAAATCATATGCATTATGAAGAAACCACTACTGTACATATCTACATGAAACTACTAGGTAAGGTCATTGACAGGTTGGAGGGCGGTATGCTGATGATACTCAGATTTACCTCTCTACTCTGGGTCATGCTAGATAAGCTGTTGAAGTCTCGTCCTGTTGTTCAGAGACTGTAAGGGTCTGGATAAGAGAGAACAGGTTAACACTGAATCTTAGCAAGATGAGTTACTATTTATTCATTGGGGTGTTTGGACAGCTCCAGTGGTGTCTCTTTATGGGGAAGCACTACCTCTGAAGAAGCAGGTCCATGATTTGGGGGGTTCTCCTGGGCATATGGCTTCTGCTTGAGCAGCAGGTGAGAGCTGTGGCCAGGGGGTCTTTGCCCAGCTTTGCCTGGTGTACCAGTTGTGGTCCTACCTGGGATGAGAGAATCTTCCTACAGTGGCTTGTGCCCTCATCACCAGTTATATTGCAGAACATTCTTTATGGGGCTGCCTTTAAAGACCACTTGGAAGGCTGAATTGGTTGAAAATGCAGTGGCCCATGTATTATCCAGGACTCATCAGTCAAAGCACATTACACTATACGCCCTGCACTGGCTTCCTATAGGCTTCTAGATACAATTTAAAGTGTTGGTATTAAAAGTCCTTTATAGCTTGTCATCAAGTTATCTTCAGGCCCATGTTCAACCACTAGAATTGGCCTGACCTATTCAATCTTGCCAGAAAAAGCATTTGATGTTTTCCCACTTTTGGGAGGTAGGGGGGCAAGGAAGGGAGGTGTTGATTTTTTAAAAATTGTATTTTTATTATTACTCCAACAATAAAAACAACTTTTCCAGCCTAGTTTTGGCCCTCTGGAATGGCCTCCCAGTAGAAATGAGATTAACCCTGACTTTAGCCACCTTTTGGAAGGAGTTGAAGACAGAATTCTTCCAGACTTGGTGCCAGTTTTTCTACATTGCTTTTTCAGATTTTCTGGTTTGTATTTTATGTTTTTTGGATCTTATTGGACCATGAATACTTTATTGTTTGTATTTCTGTGAAACTGCTAAGCATCCTGGGAGATTGTAATGGATTTTAAATGTAATAAATAATCACACACTTCCAAAATAGTTACTGATTTAATAGATAAAAACCCATTATTATATCTGAGGGCCTGATGCAGGATTAGCTGTTGGGCCATATGTCTGTTAGGTATCTAGCTGCATATTTCCAAAGAGAGGTTGCCAGCCCTGACCTCAATGTCTGGGAAAACAGCTAGGTCTTCAGTGCCTGGAAGATGATTACCTGGACCCTTTTCTGTCAGGATTCAGTCCTGACTATAACACTGAAATGGCATTCATTGTTCTTGTGGACATTCTCTGGTGGGCTCAGGATAAGGGTAGTTTGTCCATCCTGGCCCTTTTTGATCTCACAATGGCTTTCAATACCATCAATCATGGTATCCTTCTGGGATGGCTTGGGGTTTGGGAGTGGAAGGCATCAAATTACAATGGTTTTCCTTTCTCTGGGGCTGGTTCCAGTTGATGTTTATGTGGGGGGGGGGGGAGAGGTTGAGCCCAAGGCCCCTGCTTTGTGTGGTGCCTCAGGGCTGCAACTTCTCCCCACTTCTGTTTAACATCTACAGGAAGCTGCTGGGCAAGGTCATCCACAGCATGCAGTGCAGTATCACCCAGTTGTACATCTCTACCCTGGGCTGACCAAGCAATGTCGTTAAGGTCCTTTTCCAGTGCCTGAAGGCTGTGAGGGTCTGGATGGGGGAGAGCAGGCTTCGGTTCAACCCAGGTAAGAATGAGAGACTGTGGGGTTCTAAGTCCCCACATGCACACACACACACACACACACACACGGTTCCAGAGGTTTTCCATCCTTCACTTGGCCTGCGGCTGTATTTCCCCAGTCAGAAGTGGTGTGCAATTTGGGGGTCCTCCTGGACTCACAACTCCTGCTCAAAGTGCAGGTGGCAGCACTGATCAGGGGGGAGAGGGGTTTGCACAGGTTTGTCTTATGCACCAGTTGAGCCCAGTCATAGACTAGGAGGCCTTGCTCATGCTGACTCATGCCTTAGTCACTTCCTGTTTGGATTATTGTAATGTGCTGTACATGGGGCCGCCCTTGAAGAGTGCTCAAAAGCTGCAGCTGGTCAAGAATGCAGCAGTGCAAGCAGTTTTTGGCATTTCTTGTTATGCTCATACTGTATAACATTGCTGCTCCACAAGCTGCATTAGCCCCCACTAGGCTTCTGGGTATGATTCAAATGGTGATTATCATCTCTCTATCCCATTCTCTGTTGTAGCAAAACACGTTGATTTATCAGACCAACACTATCTATCCCCAGTCTGGGGCCTTCAGAATGCTTTGGATTGCAGTCTTATATTCATTATAGCCAACATCCCCTATTAATATGGCTATTCTATCCTGGGCTGGGAATGAAAAATGCTTTGGTCTATCGTGTTTATTGTTTCAAATTGGGCAAGTCTGGCCATTAGCAGTGATGGGCTACAGCCCATTTCATCAAATGCAATATCTTATTCTGAGTCATAATTGATGGGGTGGGGGAGGGCATTAACTGGTAAGAGTAGAAGAAAATAAGTCCATGTTAGGTACCCATAGCTTGACAGGGGGAAAAAAATGTTGCTAATAACACAGATTCTCTGGCAATGCTGCCCATAGGATCAGACTGCACGGCATAGCGCCCTGCAATCTGGGAGGATCAAAAAACAACCCACAGTTTAGATCTGCCACGTGCCTTAATGTGGCCTCAACCAGCAGCAGTCAGCCTAGCAATCTCTGGCTGGCTGGCTGATAGTGGTGAGAAAGAAGAGAAGGTTCTGTGGTGGTGAGGAGTTAACAGTGGCAATGAAGAGGAGGAAGAGAAGGAGGAAGCAAAGAAGATAACAGCCTCTTCAAAATGGAATTAGTTCTATGGGGAATCTAAGGCAGTTTTTGTTGATGTACATGTATGAGCATTGCTAGACTAGGGTACCTAGTTTCCATGATTCTTGTCTTGATAACCTCACAGTTGGCCTGCTATCTCATGCCAAAAAGTAGTTTCCATCGGGCCTGCTTGTGGCAAGGCCGCAGTTATGGAACACTCCCTCAAACTCCCAGGCTGTCTAGTTTTAGTTGGTAGATCAACTACTCAGTCGTTCTTCTGGGTATTTGCAAGGCAAACATTGTCCCAGGGAAATGTTTTTTTGCATAGCTTTTCTAATTTTTTCTTTTTGTTTTTCACGCTGGTTTCTTTTAGAAGGAGGAGCAGTATAGACATGTATTATTACTAGTAGTATCTCTACTAGTACCTCTGTTGCAATTGCTTTGCAGTGCAGTGTACTTCAGCACAAAGAGGTGGTTACCCACTCAGGATAGAAGGACCCTAACATTTGCATTCAGACATTCTGCTTCTCCAACATGCATGATTCTCTTCAGAAGCTCTAAAGTTCACAGAGAGAGATTTAATAATAGGGCTGGGCAAAGATTTCAATAATCAGATTGAACTAGTTGCCTTCAGATTGATCTGATACTTTGATGGTTTTTTGCACATGCAGACAAAAGCTTTCTTCCAGATGTACTCAGTCTGATCGTTTGATCCCAAAATGAATTCATTTCATTTGGAGATCTGATTTCACTAATCCACACATCTCTGAAAAATGGTATCATTTATCTCAGATGGGTCCAGTGGCCTTAAAAGAATCTAGAGGTCCACTTTGAGAAGCTTAGAGGTATACTCTCACCCCTGCTTTAACCTCAGGATCATGGTCTATTGCTCCTGGTAGTACCCCACCCATTAATTGTACTGAAGTGTTGGATTCCTCCACCCACTTGCCACTCACTGCCCATTTCATTCTGTACTGTAAAGCCCTTTTCAGCTTGATGTTATCTTCAGGAATAACTCAGGGAATGGCTGTTTCCCAACTCTGTGCCACTGTCTGAGTCTGATGTCAGCTTGCAGGTAAAGTAACTACCCCTTTCTCATGCTGATATTTCTCTTCCTTTATGCCTCCCCTTTTCCTAGCATTTAAAAGCCTGCAGGGAAAACCCACCACACCCTCTTGGGGAAAACAGAGTAGGAATATGACCTCAGCTGTCCAGTGCCAAAGCCAGTATTCTAATCTCTTGCTGATTATGGCCAGAGCTGTTTCTTTTGTCTTACTTAATACCCAAAGCATCTTAATGCCCGGGTTTTTCTCTGCCCATTGACAATTCACCAACACAGGATAATTAATTGTTGTTGTTTTTGTTGTTATTGTTTAATTCTTAAACTCATTGTACTTCACTTATCCATCAGAAAAACCTATTTCAGTTTACCCAGGGCAGAAGAGAATTATAATAAAAGACACAAGTAAAATAAGTACAGTCAAAAAATCACAAAAACATACAGTGCTGAAAACAGTTACTAATATTCAGTAAATGATAGAAGCTACATCTGTGCTTAGTTTTAAGTGTAGTATTATAGAAAGGTGAGATCCATCTTCATTTTATTGGTTAAGTTCTATTTCAAAGTTTTGCACAAATACAGAAGTGGGAACTGGGAAGTACCAACCAACCTCAACATCATCAAAATCAAACAATAAAATAAAAGGGACAAAATCCAGCAATAAGTGCAGCTTCATGTTGGTCAACATCTTCTCCCAGAACCCTCTGAAATAATCACATTTCTTCTGAAAGACAAGCAGTGATGGAATCAGATGGATCCTACCCTCAAAACCAAGGACACTCTGCAGTGTCCTAAATAAAATACTTTATATTTTGACCACAATCTCTTCACTGATTTAGGGCTGGAAAGGGATCAGTAAAAGGAAACACGGATAGATTGTTTTGGTAGTGGGTGGCTGAGATTCTCTGACCCCTAACCATCATCTCTTGCCTCTTGGCCAGATACTGAAATAATTTTCAAAGAGTCAGCCTCATTAAATGTATTCTCCTAGGTATAGATAACAGCAGCTAGCCAACCTTTGTTGATCTGACAAAAAGACAAGCAAGGTCAAACTGTGCTAGGATTTTAATGGGGAACCATGAGAGCTATAGATTTTACGTGTGTGTGTGTGTGCGCACGCACATGCCTTTGCATCACTGTTGACTCCTGGTGACAGCCTGGACAAGTCTCTGCAGTTTTCTTGCAAGTTTTCAGAAGTGGTTGCCATGGCCTCCTTCCTAGGACCAAGAGAGGGTGACTGGCCCAAAGTCACCCAGCTGGCTTTGTGCCTAAGGTGGGACTAGAACTCAGGGTCTCCAGGTTTCTAGCCTGATGCCTTAACCACTACACCAAACTGGCCCTCATAGATTTGACTAGTAGGTCAAAAAAACATTCTGGAAGAAAGCAGTGGCAAACCACTTATATTATCATTGCCAAGAAAGCTACATGGACATGCTCATGAAGAAATCAGGACGAGAGCTCAGCTTGAGAGTCTTTACCTTTACTTTGCATATGCATTAGGATTGTGCTAAAGGAGACAAACTGAACCGCTTCTCCGGCTGAATTTCATTACAGCTTTGATCAGGGCTTCAAATGAAACTGGCCTGGATTGAGACGTAAGGCATCTCCACAAAATAATGGGAACCTAGTGTTACCAAGCAAGTGAACAAGTTGAACTTTTCCCAAAAAAAATATTGATTCTTAATGGTTGCTGCATCTTCACAGCCAGGTATGTAGCTCAGCCTACTGACATTTGCATGGAGATGTATTTCTTGAGTCTCAAACAATTACCAGTATGGAAGTATTTTAATAATTTTAATAAATAATAATTTTAATAAATGGAACTCATTTATTAAAAGTAAAATGGGCTAAGTGGCTATTTCAGGTTGAGTTGGAACAATGTAACATCTTTATATCCTTCATGAACTTTCAAAGCCATTGGCATATTTGGATTCGGAAAGCTAAACAGCCAAGGGTATTCATTTAGCCAGTCTCAGTGCCATTAAAATTGTCTTAAACGTGCTGTTTTTCTGGGAGCTATCTCTTCCAATTGGACTTTAAAGACTTACAACATATTTGAATTGGCTGAGAGGATGCTCTTGGGCTCAGTTTTCTCACACTGAGTTTTTCAAGACATGGCCATGCGCACACTTCTGTTTCTTAATGACAAGGTATCAAAGGGAGCTTTAAGTGTAAAATAAATGACTGGATACTTCGGGGGCTTTTAATGCTTTGGGACTTTTAACCCAGGGAGATGTTTTTCTCTCATTAGTTATCCTTTCAAAAACTGACACTTAACAATTTAACCATTTTAATCTTAGTTTTTATTCTTCCTGTATAGCATTTTGAAAGCCAGTGATTTGGCACAAGAGGCTGGACACTAATGTGCTGGAAATGAAGCTGGAAATTGAGCTGCTTCTACTTGATTTGGTTTGACTCTAGGGCTTTTGGAAATCTCTGGCTTTATCCAGAATAAGGTATCTATATTTAAATCTCACTGAAATTAGTGGCACAGATTCAAATTCACAGTGATATATGTCACGGATTTCAACTAGAATGAAGCATGGCTAGCTTTTCTGCAAGACAGCTTGCCTCTGAAGACCAAACTAGGTTTAGGGTTAGGTGGAGGGGTGTCAGTGGAAAAAATTGAATACTGAACCAAATTGGGTTACTTCAGAGATGTTCAGACCTCCTCTGAAGGGATTTAAAAGGCCTGTCTTCTGAGCTGAGCTAAAGTGCTCTCCACCCATCCTAGTAACTGGAAGAAAACAATACCTGCATGAAATTTGCTGCCCCCGTTTCCAGTTCTTATCCTGCTTCTACTGCAGCTGCTTTGGCTCACCACCAAATGGTGCTGTCCTGATGTCACAGGTGTACCACCTGATAAGGAAAACAGCTAGTTGATTCCTCCAGTTTTGCTGCCCTTCATGTTCTGCACCCCAGCCAGAGAGAAAAATGTTTGCCACTCACAGTGCTGCAGTCAGAATGGGGTGGGTCTGGCTGCCAGATTCTGCCCATCTTCCTCTGCCCATCCCCTTATACCACATTCTGCCCTAACATGAGCTGAATAAAGTTAAAAACAAACCAAACCAAAAGAAAAAACCTGATTAGTACCACAAAGTAAGCTGAATCAAGAACAGCATCTTTACTTAGGGTTTCTCCTCCCTTCCTTTTCTTTCTTTATATAAGCAGCAAATGTTGCTTCTGCGTTCTTCTGCGTTCTGTTCAGAAGACATGGGTGGGATGGTCCTATCATTCTGTTATTTGCTATTTCAGTCTTTTGCTCTGCCAGTGAGAATCACAGAGGTAATGCACTTACAGTCCTGCTAGCTGAGCAGTCTAGCACTATTACACAATTCTGATAGATCACCAGCACCGTGCTGCTGTGTCCAGTTCTTTAGGGACACAACAGCAGAATACTGGCAGACAAGACAAAGCTGACCAGGGGAGGGGGCACATCAGTAAGAGTTTATTTATTTATACAATTTATATAGCCACCCATCTCACCAACAAGTGACTCTGGGTGGCATACAACAAGACTAAAACAATCAATAAATACATTAAAAGGTATAAGAACCAACTAAAACAAAAACTAACAAATAACAGACAAAAGGTTGCTTTGATACCACCCACTGTTGATCACCTACCTCTGCCTTCCACATAAAGGGTGCCAAAATATAACTGATTTTAGACCCTTGGCAGCTGCTATTGATGACAGTTGGCTTAAGATGGGAAACCCCTACTTTAACACCAGCCTAGCCAGAGATAACTTAAAGCTCTCTTACTCATGGGGTGCTGACAAAAAAGCTTGCCAGGATATGTTTGCAACATGGCTTGGAGCAAATGGGGAAAAGACCCAAAGTGAAATGGGCTGCTCCCAAAGTTTTGGATATCCTTGGAGCTTTAGAAGGAGCTCATTTTCCTAGCTCCATCCTGAATCTTTCTTGGATGTTGCTTCCTTGATCATACTAATTTAGTTATTGACACCCAGACCTTGACTTGGGTTTGCTCAGGATGCTGCTTTAGTGACTCTATTCAAGGACCTGATTCCTTTGGCTATTATCTGTAGTTCACCTGGTCAGCCCTTCAGCCTGCCAAATTGTGTGTATTCTGAGCTAAGCAGGATGTGTGACTCAAAACCATCACATTGTGAGATTCCCAGAATACAGTCCATATTAGCATTGTTCTCTAATGGTAATGGGAAAGCTCTCTGAGCCCAGCGTCTCCTTCACCCCAAGCAGTTGTATTCTCTAAAGAATAGGCCAAAGGGTTGGGCCTGTCTACATTGCATTCCAATTCTGCTGCAAATGCAGATCAGTGCCCGCTATCAGATGAGAAATGTTTAGATATATGGGTCATGTTTCCAAAAGCGGATTAGATTAGTCATTTCAAACAATGCCATTGTCCTGTCTATCTTAAGATTTCTGCTTCTTTCAATTTCTCGCATCCAGCTTTTAAAAGTTTGGATTCTTCCTGTGCATCCTCTGAAGCAGATTTGGGAGATACATGGATGGTGGGGGGAGGAGACTAAGGAAAACTCCTTGTTGGAGGTCCATTTGCATGAATTTGGATGTAGTCCAGTAGTAATATTCAAAAATGACAACTCATAAGACTGGGAGTTTCTAAAAGTCATCTGTTTTGGTTTTGCTCTGCTTTTTTCTATTTCTGCATAGGGCATTAGCAGTATAGATGGCATAGTTTGCATTTCATAACATGACAGATAGAAACTGGAAGCAAGCAGGCCCTTGAGCAACTATCAGCATCTGTGCTAACATGCTGATGCACAAAGAGGCCATTTAAACACATCACACTACACTACAATGAAGAATCTTGCTGTGGCATTAAAGCACAGTTACCACCACTTGTACTCCTCACTCCCAATTTCTTAAAGAGAATACTGAATGCTACGTCAGCTTCAGGATAAACTGCTACATTCATCAGCAAAACCACTAAAACTCTGTTTTGGATTGGTTTGACAAATGGCCAAAAAGGATATTAAATAGCAGAAGTGAAATCTTCCTATTCTGACAACTCCCCCCGGCTCTACCCTTGCACCTAGCCCCAATTTCTTGGGAAATTTGTAATGCACAAGGCAGCAGAAGCACCATAGTAATTTGCAGATGGCAGACATTATGCAACCTTCCGCTTTTCCATTTATGCTGTCCTTAACAATTCCTCTCTGTTCTCCTTTGCATGCCTTACATTACAATCATGCACATGATCCAGAGTGGTTTCACCTTTAGTCTCTTAAAATAGAATGTTTCATTACTGGAAGGAGACCCAGTATATTTGCCCTGGCAGACTAAATAATTGTCTCTTGAATTGGGCAGGAAAGGAAAGATCTCTGAAGGCATCTTAGAGAAGCATCATGCTTTAAATGATTGCCGATTTTTCAGTTGTGCTGAAAGCAGTTTAGCAGAGTATGGCAATGGCAAACTTGCTCTAGTTTTTTTGCCTGCCAGAAATGATGATAGTGATGATACATAGCCCGTGGCCAAGTAGTCTTGGAGCAATCAGAATTGGACTGAGTGATTTCTCACTCCCCAGTGTGTCATAACGAAATGGACAGAGAAACTGAGGAGAAGCAGAGAACTGCTTCAGCCAATAATCACCAGGGCACCAGTGACTAGCCAAGAACAAAGAAGAGGAGTTAGATAGGAGTGAAATGCCCATGCTGCAACAGACATGAATTTGTAGCACTCCTACTGCTTCTCATCTTTTTTTCTTCTGGAAGAGATAAATTCCAGGGCAGCTTCCAAGTTCATAGCAAGAATGTTGAGTGGGGAAATTTCTCCAAGGACAAACAGGCCAAGCTACATGTGGCAGCCTGTTCCATAGAGTTTTGCTTAACCCCTCCCCCCTTATAAATAGCAAACTACTACACAAGACTAACACTGGAAATATGGTGGAGAGAAGGCCTTTCTTGATCCTTTCCTTGAACTTGAATTTTGAAAATACAGCATACCCCTAGTGTACACACCCTTGGGGGAGATGAGAATGTGAAGCATTTGTGGTGTTTCACATTCCTTTAAGAAAGTCAAGTTAGTCATGTTCTGTCAAACCTGGTCATTCATCATTACATGTATTGTATTAAATGTATTGCTTCCTGTAGATATATATTCCATTTTATGTTGACATTCCAGCTAAGTGTCCCTCTCAAATAGATTCTTTGGAACCCAACTTCTACAAGCTACTTTCAGTATCTTAGGGGTCAATATGTTTCTTCTGCTCCACATGCCATTATGCTTACCAGATCTGTCATGAAAGGATGCATAGGGAAAGGATATTCAATTCTTATTGGACAGAGATAGAAGTTGTCCATAGGAGTCAGTTCCCTCATTCATAGAATCATTTGACCTTTTATCACCTAATCACTCTTTTTTTTTTTCAGTTACAAATGTATGAATTACCCTTTTGCAATATGAGAAAGAGAGAGAGAGAGAGAGAGAGAGAA